TAGGATCGTTCTGTGACTATAACTAGGACACTTAAAATTTTTGATCAAGAAGAATGTTAACAGTTCAATTGTTACTATGAATTTCCGCAGATTTTATCAGTCCTTTGATATCTGATGTTTCTAACTAGTTTTGAGTATTTATAGCCACGTCTAAATTACTTCCTATTAATGGTAAATGTTCAATCAGACTGAATGACGAAGGTTCAAAGTTGAAATATGTTCAGTAAATTAACTTTTGCACGTCAGTTAAGTCATACTCATTTAAAAGTATAGCTCTAAATACATCATAAACTCTGCACCAGTTTGTTTGAGAACCTGTGAGCTTTCAATAACAACATTAGAAATTTTATTAGTAGTTGTTAACATTATTTTATGTACATATTTGGTTTCTAAAGAAAAGTATGTACTTTACAAACCTTCTTCTTGAGAGATTGAGAAGAAAGTTTACTTCTTCCTGAGAGATTGATGAGAAAATACTGACTGACTGTCAGATTTCCAACAAGTAGAAATTTGCTTACAAGTTTTAATATGAATATGGAATATCCGGCTCGAAGGACCAAAGGCAAGTAACAGTGATGCAATTGGTTCCTGCTGTACAGTTGCGAAAGCAGTACCGACAGCTCAAGTGTATAGCATTTGCTGCGTACAGGATTTTCTCAACTTTTAGTTTTGCTTAAGGAAAAGTTGGTGTGCATCTCGGTCAAAAAAGTATAATAACACACTTTGACTTATAACAATAGAATTACATGTAAATTGAATATGAGTTTTGCACAATCCTGAGCGTAAGTTTGTGGGTGTTCTATATGGGTGGTCCTATAGACACCACTATTCTTCTTAAAGGGAAAAGTTACACATTTGCACATCCAAGGTGACGTCTACCTTTGCCTTCAAATAGCGTTCCACGCCTGATTTCCAATACGAACATTTGTAGAATTTCTTGAGTTCTATTATATATGAGAACCTTGCATGTATTTGTGAAGTGGTTTCTGAACTATATAATTTTGGCAAATTGATTTTTGGAAGAGAAACTAATAAAATAAACTAAAACGAGCAAGAAACGCTTTAATGAGCCTGAACCAACGGCCTGGTTCTGGCTTGCCCTATTAATTTGATTAGGTTCTGCTTTGTTGTAACATTGTTTTGAAATTTTTGAAGCATCAATTATCTGAAGAACATTGAATATAAGAAAGGGTAATAAGCAGTAAGTGAATGTCAATCGGCAAACATTTAAATATTTTGAAACCCTCAGATTCCAATGGATCAAAGGATGACAAATAGCTGACTGTATACTCACAGTAGCTTCAAAAGAGTTAGTGATTGTTTACTGATCTACATTTTTACTTTGCTGGTGAAGGTGGATCACTATATCTCAGTTAATAATCAGTGTAAGGCACTTTGACTTATATTAATAACACTACTCCTGTATTAAAAATAAGATTCACGCACGTTTAAAAAGTGTTGAGCGATACCATGCTTACTGAAGGCAAAGGTGGATGCCACTCTTGCATACCAAAGTTTAATAATGGAAATTTGGAGAATTAAAATACTATTAATTAGGTTGTTTGCCAACTTCATGTATTTGTCTAAAAGAAGTGAATCACCTTTTTTCCAGCTAACAAGTCACATTATCAATGTTCCAACACTACTGATGTGAAGTGTGAACAACCCCAGTTAACTAAGACAAGAGCAGAGTAAACTTGATAGACACTCAAGAAATCCCAATTCGAACAGAACCCCGAAAAGATTTCTTTTCTAAAATTAACATTGTTGTTCCTGTTGGTTATTGACGGGACTATTTGAGGCTGATTAAAGACGAAACTCCAGGTTATTTTTAAAACGGGCTGCAGCAAACCTCTCGAAACAGAACTGTAAAATATAAAGCGAGATTAGAGCAGCATCGGCATGGCGTCGGCTGAGCTGTCACCGAGCATCAAAATAACGCTGCAACTAATGCGTCCTGACACCGGAAATGATTGGGTTTTCTGCCGCCCGATTGGACGCGTTTCCGATATTGGATGCGTGCATGTAAAAGCAACACGAATTGTGTGTATCAGTTTCTCTCAGTGGCGACCGATCGTCAAATTTGTTGCCGCTTACAATATTGCAAAAATATCCGTGCAAAAATGAAATATTTACACTCGCGATGTTTCCAATATTTTACTGGAAATTTGATTTATTCTTTGGCGCAATTGTTGCATGGGAACCACATGCTTCACGTGAAATATGTAATTGGGATTTGACGCGAATTAATCTGCTTCATTTATGCAGCATTCATTTAAGGTGGGCCTGGGTACATCAGTGAATTTTTAGGAGTTCGCGCAGTGCTACGAAATTTGCTCTAATCCAACGCACCGGCGCAGTAACTCAATTTGTTTACTTGTTTATAGATTTATTTTCAGGATCATTTCTTAATAAGATGTTTAAAATTTTATCAAAATTTCAGAATTTTTCAGTTTTAGGCAAGTTACCCTTTCTTCAAACTGTTCAATTTTCTAAAGCTTCACTTAAAAATGCTGACAATCTTAAGGTACTTTCCGTGAAAAATTATGAAATAAATTTCGATTCGTCACTTTGCAAAAAGTTTTAAAATCCCTTTCCAGCTTCAAATTTGAAACAAAAATCAAATAATATAACAGAATAAGCAAAAGTTTAGAACAGATTATTTGGAAATCTCGACAGCTCTATACCCCTGAAGACTACAAAGTTTGTTACAAATTTGGTTTTTTAGTTTTGACTGAATTTTGTTTTACTTTCTACTCAAACACGCTCTATTTTATAGAGATGTACTTAAAAATACTGACGATCTGGAGGTGTTTTACGCAAAAAATTACAAGATAAATGTATAGCTTTGTAAAAATTTTACAAAAACTTTTCTCAACGTCGAATTCGGAACAAAAATGAAATTATATTCCTCCCGTTTTTTTCTGAAACCCAGGTTTTCTCTAAAACTGATCACAAAACTAAGTTTTTAATCGAATACGCACACAAAAAAAACGTTATTTTCTGATGACTTTCTTCTTTTCTGACAATAATGGAGCCTTTGCAGCCAAAATATACAAAATTGATTAGGCTAAAAAATTCGCCTCAGTGATCGGTTTGCACAGGGACCTTTTGAAAACCTTTTTGAACAAAGTAGTAAAACGTTACTCTGAAAAAACGTTAATGACCTTTTTTTAGATGTGAAAATTCTAATCTCAGGTCTTGTAAAGCTTTAATAAATTACTTATAACTCATTAACCGATAAGTTTTAACTCGTTAACTCAGAGATCGGCAACAACTCAATAGCGCAACTCAACACAGTGTTACCCAGGCCTAATCCAAAGCGGCTCAGGTTCAACCTTTAAAAACAAATTCAAATTTTTAAGGTAGGATTGTCTTGGTCAGCGAACAAAAGTGAAGTTGATAAGTTTTTAGTTCGGTTGTAGAAAAAGTGCAAAATAGGTGTGGTGCACTGGTTTCGAAGAAATCGCTCCCAAGTTCTACAATTACAGGATCAAAACAATTCCGTATCAGTGATGAAAAACAATACGCTTTATACAATTATTAAATAGAGTGATTTTTTGGGCAGAATAATATACTTCGACTTTGGATTTTTCATTAGATGATGGTAATGGTAAAAAGATAATTTATTAAAATTAATTTCCGCGAAAGTTTCGGATTCTTCTTTTCTCTAATTTTAAAGCTTCCCTGAAGCAACCCTTGCCGCAGTCGTACAAAAATTTATCAATCAGGACAAGAGATAATTATCCTCCAGTTTACTGAAGCATTCCTAAAGTTTAGAACAAGAACACTTGACTAATATCCAACATATTGTGTCGAATGAGACTCACTTTTGCTTGAATGGTCATGTTAACAAGAAGAAAAAAGAGGATAAAAAACCTTTGCAATCGTTAAAAGTTACTGTATGACAATGTGCAATTTTGTCGTCAAGGATTGCCGGTTTCTTGTTTCGAAGAAAATGGGTGACCGGTGACCGTTTTTTGCGAAAGGTATTCAAATATGGTGTTTTTTACCTCAGCTAACAGATAGAGAGAGTGATCGCGATATTATTTGCAGCAAAATGGTCACTTCAACCCCTTCAATGGAAATCTTCAAAGACGCGTTTCCGCGACGTTTGATATCTCATACTTATCGTAATTTTCTAGTACTTCTACAAAATGGCATATAAACAAGATTAAGCGGCCCCCGCATCTGTTAATTTTTGAAAAATATAAAATTTAACGTCAACATTAAATTGCATGAAAAGACATTCATACTAACATTTTTTTCTTTATATTTTTAAAAGTTTAAAATGTTTCCTGAATAGCTTCCTCCCAAGCCAGCATACGTTTTAAGAATATGTACCTTCTTTGGTGCTTGGTTGTGCGACTTTTACTAAGCAACAAGCTACTAAGCTTGCTGGACTGATTGATATAAATGACCAGAAAATAAAGTAAATAGTGTCTATGCAAAACTTAAAACAACTCTAGTTGATAACTGGTTGACCTGAAAAGACTTAGGGTCATGTTAGGATTATGACAACTTGCTCCGTCCTGAAATTCCCAAATAAATACAGAAAAGGCACAAAATTGACTATTTCATAACAGAACTGCCCAATTTCGATCCATTAACTCACTTCGCAACATCAGTGTTGATCGTTTTCAGTTTTTGTTTTGAAATAAAATTTTGATGTGCAATGGAGCCCTTCTTCAAACGGTCCAACAAAATATGCGCCTAAAATGTACATGGTTTTCCGTGACTTTTTCGAAGACTTGTTTCCTCAACACTCGCATAATCGGTGCTCGTCTTCTGCTGTAGCCAGTTTTACTTTGGCCGGCGATTTTCATTTCCTGAGTAGAATAAATTTGCGTGCTTAATCAGCACAGTCGTTCCAGGCGTCTATTATATTGAATATATCACGGAATTTATCACTTTATTTTATTACTTATTATAACACATTTTTTCGAAGTTTTTCGTCTGTAAATGAAACTTTTTAAATTTACGTAATTTCTTTTTTTCAGGTTTATCAACGCCAGGCGGAGAATAGTACAGCCAATGATCGATCAGTCAAATCGAGCAGGTAAGTGAACTTGGTAGTGTAGTAAATGAAAGTATTTTGCATGAACTTTTCTCTATTCATCGGCATCTTAATAGGCCTTCAAATAAAACGTAAAGGAATTGCAACGAAGCAAAGTTATATCTTGATCGGATGCCATGTCAGCTTTCTGCCATACAATGCAATGATAATGGCTTTGTCATTTCTCTGATGTGGCATTTCATTTTGTGCCAATTACTGTTCCAATATCTTTATAAGATCGGCCATTTAAAAGACCAAAAGATTTTAATTTGATATATTTCACATAACTGTTATATGTCCAGTTAATGGTTGGACTGACTTATTGATGATGTCTCGTGCTATTGCAGTGTATTTATTATCCGTAATTATATCACAGTGATTCAAAACCAGAGTTTCATCAAATTAGATACTTAGAGAGATAAAATTATAATTCTGTCAGTTTTGCTGTATGGAATCGACAATTTCGAATTCATATCAGCGTGACGATAGATATACAACACTGTTGACTGTCCTTGCACCAAGTCGCCTTGTAATTGTCCAGGAAATAGACTTATATTTCAAAACATTTTTGTCGCTCCCGATTCATTGGTAACGTTGTTGAAAGCAAATTAAAGAACGTATTAATTGAGATCGGAAGAATGTATTTATATGCGACATCTAGAATCTTATCATCTTATCTCCCTGATATTTATTGGAACAACTTTCTCAATTAGCGCATTAGCGACTGGCCCTCTTCCTTCGATTTCAAATTATCATGATTGGCCAATTAATGTGTATTTGCTGGGTTTATATATATTCAAATTGCAAGATGTTCTGATTATTCACTTGAACCATCAAAGATTCCAATCGGTGCTAATTGACTCTTCATTTAGAATTTTTTTCTTCGCACTTTGCTGATTGCTTTAGTTTCTTTTACTTTAACTGATGTGTTTTAGAAATGCATATTTGCAGTAAGTTGTTAAACATATTCATCGTAAAATCTTATTTCATTGATTTAAAGAAAAGTTATTTAATTCAGGCAAAGCGTGCGAAACCCATGCGCCAGCTTCACTTTTTGAAATTAATAGCCCATGCTGGAACAAACAAATCAAGTTCTTAACAACTATCAAAATGCTATTCGAATTATTTAAAATTTTAGTAGATATCCTTGTTTGATTCTGAGAGGTAATGCAACTAAATGAGTTTGAGGCATGGCGTTGCTAGGCCGCGACCGACTTATCTCATTTTTTTTAATGAATCGTGATTTCCATTAAAGCTTAACGTTGTTGTATGCATTTTTCGAAAGATATGGGCCGATCCCATACCAGCAATCGAGCCGATATGAATTGTAAGTGAAAAGTCTTGTATATGGGCCGTTATCGTAGGGCAAGGCCAAGCCTCTGCGCTTCGAACAATCTTTCACTTGATATTTTTAACATACTCCAACTTATTTCGAAGTTTTGTTGTGCTCTTTAGTTGCTTTATTTATGCACAAAGCTGTTGTTGTATTTGATGTTTAATTCTTTCAATCGCAGTTTGTTGAATCTCTCATAAAGTAACGGGGTGAAAAGCAATTTGAAAATCCAGCGAACTAACAAGGTGTCCATGTATTCTTAAGGCAGTGAAGTTTATTACTTGTATGCGCTTTGGTTTTGTGTTCTTCCGAGTTTCTCACATCAACTCAACAAAATCAAGCCGAAAATTGAAGGTATAAATATTTCCGAATTTTCCTCAGAGATTTTCAGAAGGCGAAAAGCTCTGAGAAAGCTTTCCATTTCAATAATCGATCGCTAATTATTTGTTTCAAAAGTCCCTGCTTCTTCATAGACTTTCTGCAGTAAATTGCTAATCCTTAACCCCTACAAAACATTTCAGAGCAGCCATCAAATAAAAGACCAACTTTTTGGCGCACATTGTACGAAAAGAAATAAAATCCTGTGCCAACTAAATGGTTCCATTGGTCATTCGATACATTTCGTCTGGTGTTAATTAATCACCCAGATTACACATCTGCGTAACTTGAATTAGCTAAATCCATACACCGAGAGGCTTTTTGAGAAGGAAATTCTATCAAGTTTCTCTCCCTTGCTGGCTGTTAGGGCGGCCGATTGTGTGCCGCGCGTGATGGATTGGCCCGCAAGGGTCAATGGCTTCCTCCATTTCTCTTCGCCTGTCTTCAGCAGGAACAGAAAAGCACTGGAATCGATAGCGAATGAAGGAACACTTTTACATAGACTGACATTAATAATCCAAGTGCCATTAAGGCGCACTGAAAATCGACAATTCCACCCGGACAATGAAAACTAATGTGTCTATATTACACTTCATCGAGTTAAGTGATTTATTTATTTTCCTACTAAGGCTCACTATTTCAAGTAAAAGTTGCATTGGATCAATCTTCAATGTCTTTCCAGTAAACTACCAGGGTTAAGTAGGAACTTTGCTCTTTGTACACACTTCTGCTTCTTTAGGTGCTACTCCACTATGAAGGTGGGTAATGGTCACTAATCGAAATAAATCACTATTATTACAACGATAAACTTTCCGGAAGTTTTTCAGCCTAGTTTCGCTTTTGTGCTATAGATGTTTTTTCTTCGATTTCTTTATGCATGATAACTTGTGATATTGGGCATTGGCTTCGTCACATTTTATGTTCGATATACAGAATATAGCAGTTTATTTTCGTTGATTGTTGTGATCATTCACGTTTTCTATGCACGCGTCTCATTACTTCTACGCTAGTTAGAGTTTCGTTCCATAAAGTTTTCCATAACTTAAATGCAAGGTTTCTTTGGCAAGTTCAATTCTGATTCCTCCTTCTTGGGAGCTGGCATTGATTTCATTAAGAGTTGTTCCTAAATATGTGTATTATTTTACTCTTTTCATAGGGTAAGTTTTTAAGAATATCTTACTACTGTCTTGTGTTGTTTTGCTTATGTTCAATGTTGATCATGTCCAAATTCGCTACAGCGAGAATTTTATTAATAGTCGTTTACAGGCCTTTTTGTGGTTCCGGTAAGACGACTGTGTCGTCAGCGTATTTCATATTCTTGTTCTAGTAATTTTTCGTCCAGAATTGGCCATAGGCCTTCCTTAGCTTTTTTTCTCATTTTTTTCCATTTTTCTTGTTCATTTCCTCATTTAGAATTTCGAAGGTCAATAGATGATGTACCTCCGCTGGCAGTTGACCTGGACCCATCGCGTTTTTGTCCCTTAATGCATTTAGTGCAGACGCCATATTGTTTTCAATGATATGCGGGCCCAAACCTCCCGTTAAATTTTCGTATATATTTTTAAATATCGATATGTTGTCGCTCAGCTTCGAAGAGTTGTGTGACGTATTTCTACCGTCTCCTTGCAACATAATGGTTCATCGAAAGAAGCGAAAAATATATAAAATTCAGATAGACATAAGGCTTTTGAAATATTAATGGCATTACAAGTCTTGGTGCAAGAACGTTTACCTTCCATACCTGAAGCTGTAGAACAGCGCCTTACACCACTAATAGTATTTTCTCCGCATGCAGGTCCTAGTGGAGCTTACAGCCCTGATGGCACGATGGGTTATATGATGGGCGACCAACAAATGATGCATCGGCCGCCAGGAGATCCAGCTTTCCACAATCAGTACGCTCATTATCCCGCCGAATACTACGGACATCATCTGTGAGGTGAGTCACGTTTTTGTGTTCAGTTTCATCACTATCGGGTACACGAACGGACACGAACACATTGGTTCACAGAAGAAATACCTTGGCATCTTATGCTAAGACAATAATACAAATTAGGAAAATCATTTCAAAATTTCAGTAGCGAATACAAAATTAATACAGGAAATTCATAAAAATGTTTGTAAATTATCTCCTCGGTGAAAACTGGATGAGTTTTTTTCGCATTGCTAAATATATGTTAGTTAACTAATGATAGGGAACGTTAAATTATTTGTCATCTGAGCTGATGCATTATGTTTAGTATGTAAACTTCATGTGACCAATAAAAATACCAATTTACTACTTTGTTTCTATTCGTGCTCTAAAAGTACACAGAGCGCACATCACACCATAAACGTTTTATTAGCGAAAGTTCCAATTAAGAATTATCATGGTGTGTACAGGGTGATTCAAAATCGCAATGAGGCCTGACGGTGAATGTATTCGTAGAAATATTTCCATTAAAACAAAAATTGAGATTCGCGAAAAACATTTGACATTGACCCTGTTTTAGGAGTTAGACAGATTTTTTATTTGCTAACATTCTGTGTTAAGCTAGCGGGGAACATTAAGGAAAGTTTGCAGGGGCACTAGGAAAAGGTCATTTTCAACTTTCAATTTTATTTATACTAAATGTCCTTGATGATCGCAAAAAAATATGATTTTGTAAAGAAAAAACTTAATATAATATTATTAATTAATAAGTAAAATACTTGCTATTGTATAAAACTTGTGTGTTAAGTTAAGACCTTGAATACATTAGAAATGACCTTCCGAAAAAATACAAATTATACATATTCTTTTCATGATGTTTATTTCAGTAGTCAAACTAGCTCGCTAGCGGAATATTGTAAATATTTTTCCATATATATTCATGCCGGTTTAGAACGTCTTCCTTCGTTGTTCGACACCTAATCTCCATCCTCTTCTATCGTCGCAATCTTCTGGTAAGATGTTTCTTTCACTCATGCACTTTTGTATGGTTCTTCTACCTGTTGGTTGCCAATATAGTATTTTTCTTGGCCACCTGCTATTTGGGTTTCGTTCTACGAGACCGTACCAGGTAAGTTGTCTCTTTTCAATGTCCTGAACTATCAACTAACTTCAATTCCCATTTGTTGTTTTATATGGTCGTTCCTTATTCTGTCTATTCGTGAGATTCGCATGGATCTTCTAATGGCATCAATTTCAACTGCTTCTGCTTTCTTCTTTTGTCTGTCTGCAACACTCCAAGTTTCTGCTCCATACAGTGTATTTTTCCATACCTATCCAATATTTTCATTTTGGGAATGTCCACGTACAATTTCTCTATACGCATACTCAAGTGCCAACTCATTTGACTGAAAGTCGCCAAAAAGCAGAAGTATTTTTCTTGCACGCTCCATACACTTGCATGTAACGTATATAGTTGTATCCGCCACCTTTCCACTTCTCCGCAGAATGTACCTATTATATGATCAGCAATTCCGATATTGTGCATCCAGTATTTGAATAGCCAGTGGTCACTGAATAATGCCTTGTTTTTTGTCTAGATTTAACAGTTTTTTGGTTTTCCTCTGGCCGTCCAATCAAAACCTCTGATGGTTAGAGACGATTATGGTTTTCCATTCAGCATGGAACATGTTGAACGTGTGTTCTTTAGTCTTTTTTTTTAATTGTTGATGCTGAAATGTTCACGAAATTTTCCAGCCATGACCGATCGGGCAAGTTTATTCACATTTTTATTCCCTGTTATGTTTCGGTGTCTCGGTACGCAAATCAGGGAATCCGCTGTATTCAAGTTTTGAAGAGATCCGGCATTTGCACTGGAATTTCTTCTCAGATTCTCCTTTGTGCAGACCATGATGACAAGTAAATCTGCCTAATTGTTGTAGAGTGCCTGTTTAGCCATAGGCACATTTTCGCGTTAACCATGTCTCCATTGATTTCTAGTCCTGTTTTATTACTCATTTTGGAATCGTGCGTATACCAGACGAGGCCCTGAGGCCTCCGGAACGGCATCCCTTCTCATCAAATGATTCCAATCTGAGGGTTTTCTCTCTGGTCTTTTCATGCCTGTCCTCAACGCTGCCACCGTTTTACGTCCCTCAGTCGTTCCTGTTGTCCTATTCAAGCATCCTTCTCCACAACATAATGTAGAGGATGGATGGCCAGAATCGCCCCCAATGCTTACGTGGCTGTTGTTATTCAGGCTCGCTTATCTCCTGACAAGGTCAATGTTTACCCTATGTCTTATTCTTCTTCTTCGGTCCGTTTGAGTCCACTCCTGGGCATAGGCCTCTTCCATTTGTTTCCATGTTGATCTACACTGTGCTGCAAGAATCCCGACCTTTCCTGCGCGTCTCTGTATATCATCTCGCCATCTTAACAGGGGTCTGCCAACACTTATTTTTGTTAGTCGTTGTTTCCACTGCATGATAATTTTTGTTCACTTATTTTTGAGGCTGTTGGTAATGAATTTGCTGAGGAGCCTATACCAAACCGTTAGAAGGCTAATCGGTCTGTGGTTCTCTTTGTTAGTTCGGTCCCCCTTTTTAAAGAGGATTATCACCACGGCTTTTTTCCATGTATCGGAAAATTTTCCTTCCTCCAAGCATCTGCTAAAAAGGATCGTTAGTGCTCTCCCTATAATTTTACCTCTGTATTTTAACATTTCTATTGTAAGGAAATCTTCTCCTGAGCCCTTCCGGTTCTTCATCTGTTTTAATGCCCTTCTTAACCCTGCAGTGTCAATTTCTGGGTTATTCTCGGATCTCACATTTTGGACTACTTTTTTTAGAATTTTCGATCGGTTTGGTTTAGGTACCGGATGGCTGTACAGTTCCTTGTAGAAATGTTGGATGGCGGATGTTCTTTACTGCCTCTCTGTAACAACTTCTCCTTGTTGGTTCTTGATCAACTTCCCTTTTATAGTACTTTGTAAGTACTTTCATATTCATGTTGTTCTCGATAGCTTCGTTTATTGTTTGTGTGTTATTGACCTCAGATCCTTTCTAATTGCGTTCTTTACTTCTCTATCCAGCGTTTGAAATCTTGCTGAAACACTGTCCATTGTTCTGCGTTCTGGCAGTAGATCATTGGTGTTCTGGCTGAGTTGCGTATCAGCGCCTGCTTTCATGGAACATCCTTTTCATATTTTCTCAGCTTCTGTTAGTATCAATTTTCTGTTGGTWTGTGCGTTGTACTCGTCTATTTTCTCTTGAAGTTGTGTAGCGTGGGCCAAATGATTTTCTGCATTTGTTTTTTCCTTTGCWAGTGTGTCTATATTTATTGCTGCTCTTACGATTCTGTCGCCACTTCCGGTATTAAAGATACTGAGAACCGATACAGCGGTGCAAAAYTGTTTATCTGTGGTGAGGACATAATCTATTTCGTTCTTCATKGCGCCCTCTAGACTTCTCCAAGTCCACTTTTTTTKGAGGATGTTTTCACGGGGATTTGTAAGAMATTTTATATTAAGAAGTACCCAAGAAATTGCAGGACACGTCGATGTAAGTCAAACAAAAGCATGGACAATATTTCATTTCAAGAGTTCAATTCTTTGTATAGCTTGTACCTCAATTTTAACGTGACTGAAAATTAGCCTGTAGATGAATCTACAAGTACAAATTCTCAAAACTGATTTCTCTTACTACTGGGGAAGATCTGGATATACTCTACAAAGGTTTAAGTCTTGACAGGTAAACATTATTTAAATATTTTTCAAAATTACTAGGCGGTTCGCTCATAAGAAGTGATTTTGAATCTCAGGCAAAAGACGTTGCTTCTTGCAATGGGTACAAGTGAATGGTGATCGTTTTGGTCATATCGCTTAAGACACGTTAAATTTGGGGTCATTGTTATTAAATAATCTTGGTAAGAATAAAGAATAAAATAAGAATTTCAGACTTTAACACTCTGCATTTCCGGTAATTCTGAAATTTAGGGAAATGGTAGCTTTAAATAACAATAAACTCTTTGAGTTCTACCTGCTACCAGTTCGGGCTATGCATATTATTTTTGGTACCAGCTAAAGAAAGCGAGAGGTTACGTCAGATAGCATTGAATGGAATGGAAATCGGCACTCAAGCTGCGATATTGTGTACAGTGTTCTAGTTCTAAGAATATGTCCAAACAAAATCATGTCATGTCGAGAGTACGGGAACCCCAACATAAAGGTTCTTTATTAGCTTTATTTCAAGGCAACTTAATATCTCAGAGAAGGCGGCGGCTCTTTTTCTTGCTGAAACACAGGACGTATCCTTTCTGGTAATCGGTTGGCGACTGCTGATAAATTCCGAGTTTTGGAAAGTAAAAAATAATCTAGGCCCACTATGTTCAATGAGGCCGAAGTCAACTTTTGTTTTTCTTATGGGTGCCATATTGAATTTCTGCATTTTTAAATTCCCCTTTAAATATGCTCTTCAACCATGTATAACATG